TAGCTTAAAATATGAACCTAGCTATGCAAGTAGTTCTCAACTTATAACCACAATTGACTCCAAATTTTCTGTTGCTAAGCAAGACAGTTGTTAAGTGAGTTTTGCCCCATTTTATGACCTTTCTTGCCATGGTTGTTATGTGAATCACTGCAGTTAAGTCAGTAACACAGTTGATACATGAATCTGGCTTCCCCACTGACTTTGCAAAACACTGCAACCATCAAATACATGCCAGTTACCAGTCTGAATTTTGATTATGTGATGATGGTGATGCCACAAAGATCTTAAAAGTGTAAAAAACAGTCATAAGTTACTTTTCCAGTGCTGTTGGAACTTCAAATGGTCACTAAATGAATGGCTGTAAGTTGAGGACTACCTGTAGTGATATATATGTATAAAATTCATTTTGATTTCTAAACTTCACAACTTAGGGATTTTTGAGTACCTGGCTATTTATGGCTTATTGAGTAATCCATAGTTTTAAAAAATAATATAAGTGAGTAAACTATGGTGAGATTCCAATGTTTTTTTCCTTTTGGTCTATACTTTACACATTTGTTCCCTTTAATTTTACTGTTTAGTTCTATTAGTCTTTAAAAGATAGTTGTAAGAGCTCACATGGATTTTCATAAATTATGTTGGAGGTAACACATCCTTTAAATTGTACAATTTCACTTGAAAACTTGAGTAGCTCAGCAACTTTTACCAGAAAAATAAACTACTTCACCTTAAATTACTGGACAGTTCAATAATCAGTTAGTTTTATATTCTCAGTGATTTTAAAGGCTCAGTGTCTTACAGAAAATTTTACAATAATCAAATCATAAACAAACTAACACTTGTATGAAAAAGACTACATCAGTAATAAGTAAAATTGGCACATAATTCTCAATTGTCTGGCTACAATCAATATCAAAACATAGTAAATTACAAATATATTAATAATCCTTATTCAGAAGCAAAATGTGCAAGAAATCATCTTAAATATAAAACTATGATTAAGACTGAGTAAAGCATTCAAAAGAGATGTTTCCAACATGTAGAAACACATGATTCTTTATTAATTAATTAAAGCAACCATTTTATTTACAAGGTCCACACAATTCTTTTGGAAGCTACACCCAGTTGTCTCTGCATGTATGTGCATGCAAAGCCATTTCTCATTTAGGAGCAACTAGAACATTCAACCTTAAGAGCTGGCCTCCAGCAATCTGCCATTTTAATTCCACATAACCCTGTAGGCCTTATAGGAACCAAACATATTTCTTAGAAAATAAACATAGCATGTGGCAGTGAGCCAGACTTTACTCTGATATATTTCTAGTTAGCAAACTACCACAGGAAAACTCTGGGTTGGAGAATGCTACTACTATGTTGTAGAAATCACAATGTGTGTTTGTTTATATAAACATTAGCTTCTGTAAGCAACTTTAATCATTCGATCTTTGTATTTCGCACATTATTTCTTTGGAGACTTTAGGATTCTAAATATGGTATTTTTTTCTGTGCAGCCAGGATTTTTTTTCAACAGGAACCCAGAACTTCTCCAGTTCATCAAGCTGGTTGGGGAATTCTGGGAGTTGGAAGTCCACATATTTTAAAATTGCCAAGTTTGAGAAACACTGACTTAAAGCAAGAATTAAATTGTCATTGCTAATAAGTATTATTACAAATTTAGAGCAGTATCTTGTAAATAATGTTCCCAAATATGCAATCTAAATTCATTCATTCATTGGTTTTTAAATCTGTTATTCTAAAAAACTATTTTTTCTAGAAATATAATAGCAAAGATTGAAATATTTAACATACCTAAAGATAATATCTAACTTTCTATATATACATACAAGCACTCACACATTTATCAGAAACTAATTTCCCGCATTCTATTTTTTTTAAGTCAGTTCTCTAGTAACTTTGCATCCTATTATCTGTATTCATAGAGTTTTCATGTTTGTTTTATACTCGCCTTCTTCCAAATTGACTGACATAAAGAACCTCTTGAGGCAATTTCACCACTAAGGCAGAACTAAAATGAACTCCTGGCTTTCATGACTGACAAGGATATGATTTAGTTCTGCACAAGATAATATCAGGAAGCTCAGATAGAGGAATGACACATCCTCAGAAAAATTAAAAAGGCAGTTGCAATAGAAGTTCAAAGAGAAAAGATTATAAACTTTCAGATTAATTGTACTTGGTTAGCTACAGGAAACATGGTTTTCTATAACATTAACTTGCTGTTGAAGGCCATTACAGGTAGTCCTCAACTTGCAACTGCAATTAAGCCCAAAATTGCTGTTACTAAGTGAGACATTTGTTAAGTGAGTTTTGTCCCATTTTACTACTTTTGTTGCCACAATTGTTAAGTGGATCACTACCTTTAAGTTAGTACTATGGCTGTTAAGTGAATCTGGTTACCCCATTGACTATGGGGAAGGTCACACAAGGTGATCACATGATCCCAAGACATGATCCCAACCATTGTAAGTATGAGTCATTTGCCAAGCATCTGAATTTTTATCACATGTCCATGGGGATGCCACAATGGTCATAAATGTAAAAAGTGGTTGCAAGTTACTTTTTACAGTGTTGTTTAACTTTGAATCATCACTAAATGAACTGTTCTAAGTCAAGGACTACCTGTACTTGCATTAGAAAATGCATTTGCCAGATGCATAAGTGTACCTACTCCTCTAGATTCATCTGCCTGCTTTATCATTGGAAGCAAGATTCCTTTATTGCAAGAGGCTACTAGGTAGAATTTTAATAAGGTCTAGTAACATGAAGATTCCTTATTTAATCTGTCCCATCATCTGATGTGAATACATTTAAGAACAAGATCAATACAGAAGATAGGCCTGTATCTCAGCATCTTGGGCATTTAAAAAGTATGTAGACATCTAATATGTTATATAAACTATAAATAAAATTAAGCTTTCCAAAATTTATTAAGTCTCTTAGGAAACACTAAAAGAGAGCACAACACCGAATGCCACTTATGTCTTTGTGAAAGCAGAGAATGCTCTTGATTAAATGTTACCAATCAGTTTCTGGAAAAGATGATTAAACAGGTCTTCAACATTGAAAAGAAGCTTAAGTTAGGCTGAGAGACTTGGGAGGTATAACAGCATCTGTAAGATGGTTTTATCAATATAGTAGGAGCTAAGGATTAGTTGCATAATTAAAAACATTTGTGAGTACAGCTAAAACCAGAAAATCTTGATGTATTCTGTGGAAATCACTTAGAATTCTTTTTACTGCAGCTTTGATTGGAGTTAAAATAATGTTTGATCATCGGGACTATCTGAATGCATTTGGACTGAACACTTTCAGAAGTAATTAAACACAGTATAAAATCTGTAAACTGAAAAACTATAACACTGTTATTAGCATAACATACTTAAGTCTTTGAAACAGTAGACCAGCAGTCTCCAACTTTTCCGGTTTTGTGGACGAGCATATGCAGCTCCATTTGTGTAAGCAGCAGGCATGCGTACCCACAGCTCACACAAATGAAGCTGCATGCACATGTTCTTCCACCATGCTCACGCACTACTTCCGCAGCCTGCCACTGACCAGGATGTAGCCCAGAGGTTGGGGACCCCTGCAGTAGACCACTATGGAACTAGTAAGATTTTATTTAATCTTATTTATTTAATCTTTATTTATTTATTTAATCTTACTTATTTCTTAGGATCCAAGACTTCCAATGCTAATGCAAAGTGCTGAATTTACCTTGTTAATCGTGTTGGCCCCCTTTCAAGTAAAACAGTCATCTTTTGACTGCTTAGTGCTTAACTAGAAAGTGGAAAAGTCATATTTTGTCATTCATTTAATGATGTTGGTCTATGACAAAAATGAAGATTTATTGCTTTATTTCTTCCTTTTAGTTTACAGCAAGTCCTCGACTCAGTGATCATTCAAAGTTACAACAGCACTGAAAAAAGTGACATCATTTTTCAGTTACAATCCTTGTAGCATCCCCATGATCATGTGATCAAACTTCAGGTGCTTGGCAACTGGTTCATACTTATGACCATTGCAGTGTCGTGGAGTCATGTGATCAACTTTTCCAACCTTCTGACAAGCAAAGTCAATGGGGGAGCCATTCACTTAACAACTGGGTTACTAACTAAACAACTGCAATGATTCACTTAAAAACTGTAGCAAGAAAGGTCATAAAATGGAGCAAAACTCACTTAACAAATGTCTCACTTAACAACAAAAATTTTGGGCTCAATTGCAGTCATAAGTCGAGGACTACCTGTACTACCGGTAGTACACCAAGGTTCTGAAGCTGAAAAAATAGAGAAACCAAGGTTCATTGCCCCCTTATTAGATAAGCAGAGATATTCTGTGCATAAAGGTAGGTGGAGTTGACCACAATTTTCATTATTCAATATTATTTAAACAATCCAATATCAATTTCAACAAGTGAGTTATGCAAATAACACATTAATAACAAATAATACATTAAAATTAAAGAACAAAGCTTACATTTGATTTCTTTAGTCATGGTCCTTGAAATCTAATGATGATATTTTTCTTTTCACCCTTTACATCCTTTTTAAATTCAAATTATGTGTAACTGTCCTATAATGAAGACAGGGGGAGGAGGGTATGTACAGGCATAGGTAGGGTGCCCCAAAGAGGACCAATACTGAACTGACAAGAAATCTCTCAGAGAAATGCTTTTGGCCTGTTCAAGTTGCTACCTTTTTTTATAATCTTCCAATTCACTTTCAGGAACAGGTGCAAACCCAACAACTAATCCATTTCCAAACACTGTAGAGAAGCAAAACTATTATAAAGAAGTAGAAAATGTATATGTATTCTGCTGAGTTAATGGGTATCACTTCAACTCCTAATTAATTTGGATTATACGTTTATAAAATTATCCTAATGTAAATTCAGAGTTCATTCACTAAACTATACAATAAAAATAATTTTATGGAACATAGACATACAATACCGTGTTATATGTTTAAAAAACAACTTACTGATTGCCATGCAAGCGATTCCATAATTTTGTGTTCACAGCATTCCAGGTGTTTTATCATCTCTCTGGTCAAGCTTGGTTCTGCTTTAATGAAGCTTTCAACAATCATGTATAATTCAAAGGCTTTCAAATCCAGGATGTTGATGATCCATGGAAAAGACAAGTCTGTCTCCACATTCACATTCTGTGAGGCATTTCTTGAAGCTTAGGAGAACACAACTAATTAATGTGGAACAACAAAGTCATGTATAAAATTAGTTGTTATGCTGAGTTATTACAAGACTTTACATTTAAAATAACATTTTAAAGATGGTAGATTCCCTATCTCACAAAATGCTTTGGGGAAAAAATTTGTCTCAAGAATGATTGCTTGATAATGCTTCTAGTTAATTTGAACTTACTGCCGTATGTAGCCATGACTAGCTCAAGAGCACAAGCCAACAGAGAGATATGGAAAACGTCATTATTCAAAAGTTTGCTGTAAAAGAAAAATATACCTCATTAACAAATTTTTATCATATAAGCATTCTAAAATAGTTTTACAAAGTAGAGATATCTAAAGAATATTTTAGTAAACATACCTGAAATTATGAACTGACAGACGTTTTTCTTCCTGTAACAGATACATAAATCAAAATTTAGCATAGCACTTTTAAAGCTAACATATAGAGTATTATAAAAAATAATATACTGAAAACATACCGACTTTAATAAGGATTCCATCACTCGATAGTATAACCTTACTCCAATTTTATACCTCTAAAATAGCAAATAAAATATTATTTTATAAGTGAAACATAATGCTATGAATACAAATTATTTAATCTCTTTTGCCAATGTTTGTGGACCATTTAATTATACAGTACTACACTACTCAAAACGTTGATATATAAATAAAAAAAACTTGATCATCAGAAAAAGTATATAGTGATAAAACAATCAAAGCTGTAGGCCTCATCTTGGCCTCATTTTCTCTTTTCCACTTGAATAATGCCAATTGTTTGTAATTGTCTTTCTTTGTTTTGATCTCATTGTTCTGAAACACCTCTTCTAGACATTTTGCATTTCTTAATTGTTTTACAAGAGAATTTAATAGAATTTAATTGCTTTACAAGAGGATTTAGTGAAGATAAGCAACCAGTAATAATTGATAGCTACCCAGAGTCACTTTTATCAGTGAGATGAGTAGCATATAATTTTAATAAATAAATGAATAAATAAATATCAGGCTGAGGCATTCAGCAGGCCATCTTCAACAGTGAGCCAATTCTAATTATTGTAGCACTTCAAATACCATTCATTCCAATATATTTATAGGCAACATTGGTTTTTATTTCATTTCTATATTGTATTTATAGGATATGTATATTCTCTTTGAGTTCTAGATTACACAATATGTTTTGATAATAAAATAGAGCTGACATAAAACCAAGTTGTTAAAATCAGCTTGCTTCTACAGATCTTATTTGCAGCATCTTATTTGCAGCAACTTTTGTTCCACAGATATGTAAAGGATGTGAATTAATAAGAATTATGACAACACCAACATGATTCATGAGGAATACTTTAAATTCATTGATTTCCTCAACTCAATGCATCCCCAGTTCAGAATTTACCTAGCACTTAAGAAAAAATATATTTTGCTTTGAATTATTGAAGAACCCTACCTGAGATCCAATTTCAGCACAGCCTTGTCCAACTGCTTCAGCAAATTTGTTCTTGAAGATAATACCCATATTTTCTACTCTTTTCACTATTGATTCATGAGGATTAACTGTGCAGTTCTATAATATTTGGAAGGAAATCTTTAGATACCACCATCAAAGCTGACAACAGCCAGAACACAGTACAACTCAAAATAGTAGTGCAAGATCGTGGAGAGACCTTGCCCATATGATTCGTGAAGAGTCAGATACAACTGAATAGGTAACATCATCAACATCTTTAGATACACAATATATTAGAAAAAGAAAAAAATTTCAATTAGAGTGTGATCTTTATAAATAGCACATTATTAAATCATTGCTTCATTTTGTTAGCAACAGGATAAGATTGTTTTAGTCATAACAAACATGTAATTAAATTATTATGTTTAAGAAATCAGTTCAGGAGACTAAGATATAACAAACAACCTTTGAATTAATTTAAAATTTAAACTCACAGATATATTATTGCAATAGAAGAACCAACTCTGCAACATGAGTTCTTTTTATCAGAGTAGTATGAATGCTATGAACATTATAGTCAATAGATAGCAATGATTCCCACTCTGATAACCTCTTATTTATATATTATATTAACCTGCCTTTGAATATAGTTCAAAATATAGAACTAATCTTACTATTTAGGATCTGTTCTTATGAACATGTTACAACAAACTTTTAGAGGTTTGGGGTTGTTGTTTTTTTGTTACAGGAATGAATATTATAGACCTATTTAGGGTACAATATGAGATGGACCCTATATAAAACAATGCCTCTCATATTAATACCTGTTTTTCCATTGGTTGGCAAAATGTTTATTTATTAATTTTGTTTGCCACCCATCTCACCATGAAGTGACTATGGGCAGCTTACAACAGGGTTCCCCAATCCCTGGCTGCTGCCCATTACTGGGCTGCTCCCTGTTCAAAACCGGTCATGGAAGCAGCAGCTGAGTGCAGGCTGACCTGCTTCTTGCACGGAACCATCCCATCTCCCTCTCCCCTCCACACTGGTCTGCAAAGCTGGAAAGGTTGGAGACCACTGGCTTACAACATTAAAAAGAATAAAACAATGTGTAGATAATAAAAAAATAAAACACTATAAAATACAAATTATCAATTATAATTAAAAGAGGGGGAAGGGGGAGTAGGATGAAACTGGGGGGAAGTGCAATTTGTTATTAATCTATCAACTACCCCCAGCATGACACTTCCCCATATGTAACTAACATAACTAAGGACCAAAAATAACTTTCTGGGTGGCTCACATTTTGCCTTTGCATTAAACTGAGATTTTAGGATTTTGTGCAATGATTGAAAAAAGAGGGAAAAAACAAAGTTTAGCCTATAAGCCTAAAGTCTGCCTATATTAAGTTCAACAAAGGTCTTTGAATATGCTCCAATTTGAAGTATAGGAAATGACCTTGAAGCAAAGGGCATTTTCTGCGTCAGCTCCTTCCCATGTATGAGATGTTGCCCAGGCTAGGACCAAACTGTTGTCATATCAATACTACTTGATATGGGTTAGTATGATATATAAAACTCAACCACTGTCCCCTTGACTAATAGCTATTGGGATGGCAGAGCAGGGAGATTGAGGTTGCTTGGGATATAATAATTCTCTACTTAGAAAATTTATTCAGAGCAACAAGTAAAATAAATAAATGCTTGCTGTAGGGGAGTAATCATAAGTACACAGCTATCAATTTAAAGAAAATGACTTGTCCTGTCCTCCTCTCACTGAACATTAAAAACGTCCTTTGGAAAATCTATGTGTTTTTAGAGAAGTTGTTGGTGAGAGTTATATATTAGGAAATCCTTTCTGCCGATGTCAACCATAGTGAATATCGCCCAATGATTCAATAAAGAATATCAATTTTCTTCTTAATTTGCACTTTTATTATAACATTGTGTTTTTATTCCTGACAGAAATCATGCTCATCCTACATCTTTTTCCCAAAGTTTATGGCTTATAAACTGGTAAATCCTGACCAAATAATTAAAACAGCGGTCCCCAGCCTTTCCAGCCTGGTGGAGGGTGGGGGGGAGTGGCAGGCACATTCATGCACAGACATGTGTGCAAGTGGAGAGAGCTTGTGCATGCGTTTGCCCATATCTCCCATGGCCCGGTTTTAAACTGTGGTTCAGTAATGGGCCATGACCTGGGAGATGGAGACCCCTGCTCTAGAATATTGAAAAATGTATTTTTCTTTATTTCCTTTTTAGTTTAAAAAAAAACATATAAAGATCCTAACAACTTAAGACAGCCTGATTTTCCTGTAAAGTTAAGCCATAATTTTGAATGTGCTTGTAACTATAGGCTTGTTTTAACAGTTGTCTTACTATGTCTTAACCTGGAATCACCTGGTGTGTTTTATATTCAATAAAAGCAATTACAAAACAAAATAATTCCCATTATATTCAGCTCCATTTAGTTAAACAACAATATTTTTGCATGCCCAGATCATACCTGAGCAAAAGCAAACATGGGGATGTATTGAATTTTGTTACTGTTCTAACAAAAAATAATTTCAGAAATTCAACAACTATCTTCAGAATTGCAGGAAAAGCACATACATATTCTTCATAAAAATACACAATGGCATAAAGAAATTTCTAACATAATGCACAAGATAATTAGCCAACAAACCTGATCAACAGCAGTATATACTACCAACTTCTTCACACGTCTACTTTTAACCAAACTGGAACTTATTGAAACTTATTACATATCATGCAAATCTGAAGCAATTATTATTTACAGTCAGAAACAAAACATAATCTGATACAAACTAAGAAATCAAAAGTATAGTTAAATTGTTGCTACTTACATTAAAATAGAAGAGAAGGTTGTCTGAAGGGATATCACTTGCAGAATTCAATATTATCATTAACTGCTGAATAGTATTCATTGCAGCTCTAAAGTGAACGAAGAACACTATTAGTATTTTTCTGAAATACAACAACATATAACATTATAGCTGTTCCCTATAATGATAGCATTAACTTCCTTTGAAGCATTTCAAACTACCCATATTAGGAAGAACTTGTTTGTAATAGTGAAGTTGTACAACAATTTCAATCATAGATTTGCTAAAGTGATCTGAGCCATAAAATGTTTGCAAATATTCTACTATATACTAAGAAACTGCTAATATTAAAATATTTGAATCCCTACAAAGGCTAAGACTAGACTTACTGTTGCATTTTTCTTTGAAAGTACAAATGTGCAATGTATGCAATGTTTCAATAAGACCTAAATATTTAAGAAACTGACACTTATTTTGTTCAACATATTCAAATGTGTGTGACTTACAATTTAGAAATAATTTAATTCAAGCATTAAAATAAATTAATACTAATACAATTTAAATCATTCTTACCGAACAGGGGTTTGTGGAGGTACAATAGGAAAATCTTCAATTTGGTTTTTTGTAGGAGTTCTCTCTAACTGTAAACTTAATTTAAGAAAAATGTCTTTACACATACATGTCATGTAGATATAAAAGCTTCTTTTCTTAATCCAAGCTAAAATCTCTGGTTACATTTGCTCCCCCCCCATTCCTGAAAGAATTCTTGTTAATGGCAACATCCAAAGACAGATTGTTACATACTCCTAGCTGAGTTCTAATAATAGTAGTCCCTATAGTGGCCTTGTTCTGTGACGTTTCTTGCTTCATTCTTTTCACTCATTTTTTTTTCAGGATGTATTAGATATCCATCTAGTATTTATTCATCCTCATTTCCTTTAGCAAATATCCCAGACTTAGCCTTGACTGACTCTTGTAATTCAAAATCATATCTACTTGTTTATATTATAATTATCACTTGGAAGAATCAAATATCCATTTTAGCCCAAGCTTCTACAAAATGAGCAACAGCATTGCCAAAGCTAGATAGGAATTAAGAAAAGAGAGCGTACTATCTTTAACCAAATTGGATCTGTTCTATTGTCAATAAGATCATACATCTGGATAGTCGTTCTAATCTTCCATTCTTAAATAAATTACTGCCTGTAAGGCAGCTGAAGCTAATCGTCAGATTATCTAATGAACTAACAAATAGTACTTGAATACAGACTATGCAAAAAACAAAATATATTACCATTCTGCATTTTCATATTGCAAAGTCTCATCTTTCTCTAGAAATAATCTAGCATCAATATCCTTGTTTTTCAAATACATTTCTTCATATTTGCTTGACATATCTTCAACCTTAAGTTGAAAGAAAAATAGATTCATACTGAAAATATACTATTCATCTATGATACATTTATACATAATTTATTTTGGAAACATTGTTTATATTCAACTTATTTACTCCATTTATTTTAATAAAAGCATTATTTAAGTTATCATCTAGTGCAGTGGTTCTTAAACTTTGGGCAATGATTACTAAGGGAAGAATATGGGCATATCCTGGGGGTAATGGAGTAATTTATAATTATTTCTTTTTGAGCCCAGGATCTGGCTCTGGAGACTTATTAGGAAAAGAGTAATTGGGTAAAACAGTTTAAGAACCACTGATTTTGTGTCATGTGACATTCAAATGCATCTATATTAATAAAAAAGTATTAATAAACTGCTAAGTAGCCTTTCACTATTAGAAAATCTATCACGGGATAAGTTTCTAATTGTCAAAATCAGATCAAGTATTCATAATGGCAAATAGATTTTCAAATTAATGTAGATTTACCTCTGGAAGTCCTCTGAAAGTTGCAATACCCATTGAATTCAGAAATGGAATAAAGCTAGTCAAGTAAACATTTTTCACCTAAAATTATAAAAGAGCATCAGTGTCATGAGTGTTATTTTTGCCAAGTGTCCCAAATGTGATTATGTAACCATGGAGGTTTTTGCAACAATTGTAACTTGAAAGATGGGTCATAATTTTTTTTGAGACTGTTGTAACTTTGAACAGTGTTAAGCGATCAATTGTTAAGTCAAAGACTACTTGTGATGGAAATAGTAGGCTAGCCCTGGCAGCCAGTTGCCTTCTTCACTTCAGTAACCACCGACTGAAATATCAAAATTGTGCAAATATTGAACTGGCTACAATACAATTTATTTAAGCAGTGTGAAAAGTTAGTTTACTAAGGAAATATAATCCTTCTAAAGAAAATATGAACACTGTGAACATCCAGGAGAGAGAGAGGAAACAGGGATTAAATATTGGAAACATATCCAATATTGTTACCATATCCAATAAAAGGAACATGAATCGTCCCAGAAAATGCCAGCTAACTAACTAACTCCAGAGAGCCAGTTTGAGCTAGCAGTTAAGGCACCAGGCTAGAAAGCAAGAGACCATAAGTTCATGTCTTGCTTTAGCCATGAAAGCCAGCTGGGTGACCTTGGGCTAGTCACTCTCAGTCCAACTCTCCTCACAGGATTGCTGTTGTGGGTAAAATAGGAGGAGAAAGGTATGTTGGATATGTTTGCTGACTTGAGTTATTTGTAAAGAAAAATAAAGGTGGAATGTAAATAAATATATAAATAAATTTAAAAATCATGGAATTTGAAAAAAAATGTATAATGAGAATTTAGGCTGGGAAAAAATATTGCAGAATTTTTCCAAAAATGTTGAATATTTGCGACCTCCATAAAGTGAATAATTCATTAAAATATAAACAACAGGGCCAAAACATGTCAGCTACTTAAAAATCCAGAAATGAATACCCTTTCTATTATGTGAACCCCAGCAATTCCAGGATTTTAATGATATAAGTAGGAATTTTCCAAGAGAGCCTACAAAGACATACTTTGCTGAATTTTCATTCATATTCCATTAACCGATAAAATATAAAGTCAATTATAACTATCATAAAATAGTTTCAATTTAGCTAGTGAAATCCTAAATGATTTGTTTTTAATTAGGATTAGCATTTTTGGGCTTGTTAATACATAAATTAATGATGGAACACTATTAGTTTAGATGACATTACATAAGAGACAAATTGTTCTACGAGTACTCCTTGACGCATAACAATTGAGACCAGAAGTTTGATTGGGAAGCAATCACTATAAAACTATCCATCAAATCATTGGATGCAACTTCCAAGATCATTTTTACCATGGTAAAAGAGTGTGAGGGAGGATTGGAGAGGGTACACAAGGATGTGGGAAGATATGTGACAGGAATAGGTTAGGAAGAGTGCACAAGAGGTGGGCCAGGGAGGGTGCATGCAAAAGACACCACGTAAACTGGGGAGGGTACACAGGGGTATCACACCAGGTGAGGGAGGGTGCATGCGTGGCTGATTAACATGAGCCCAAAGAAACTGGGGAAAGATGGGTGGGTGGGTGGGTGGGTGGAGAACAGCCAACTGAAGCACAACCAGATTGTGATTGTGGGAGCTGAAACTCCTAGGACCAGGCTTAGCCCAATTCGTTCAGCGCCGCTCTAACTTAGAATGATCACTAATCGAATGGTTGTAGGACTATTTGTATGTTTCTTTCTTCATTTTTGGTATTTTTTTCAGTAAAACTTGGTTAGATAAATTAAAATAAAAAATATTTTGTATTAAAAATACAAAATTCTAAAAATTCTACTCTTACCTCATCCAAACTACAATCATACTCTTTACAGAGCTCTTCAATAACCTTGATGTCTGTTTCAGTTTTTGATGTTCTTGCACTTCTGTTCTGACCTTGCCTACTTGTTCGAGATGAGCCATGACCAGATACTGCAATTATAGATTCTATGGAAAGAAGCCAATCGTTTGCTTATTGTAATGGATTACTTCAAAGCAATAAGCAAAATTTTAAAAGTGCTTTCAAGTATACAAAAAAGGATTTGTTTACTAGATCAGAAATTGTCAGGCGCGAACAGGTAGATTCACGCATACTTAATCCCTCCTCCTAGCCAGGCTGGGTGCTTCTCAAAAGAACTATTAAATGTGAGACAGTATGGAGATCAGGGGTGTCAAACTGGATTTCTTCAAGGGCCAAATCAGCATTGTAGTTCTCTGTGGGCCGGTGGAAGGAGAGACAGGACAGATGCCTCCTGCAGCACCCTGCAGGCCAAATCGGGATGTGGTAGAGGCGCGCATGGGGCGCCCTGCACCTCATTTTCAGCCTCCATGACCTCCTGAGACACTGTTGGCCAAAAACCGGCCACGCAGAGGCCTCGCGAGGCCCCCACGTAGCCCATTTTTGGCCAGCAGTGCTACTGGAGGCCGGGGAGGCCAAAAACAGGCCTCACGAGTCCTCCGCAAGGCCATTTTTGGCCGGCAGAGGCACAGCAGGCCAGTCCTTTGATATTTCCAGGTGGGTCCCGTGGGCCAGATTTAAACACCCCAGATCTGACCCACGGGCCTTGAGTTTGACACTCCTGGTATAAATCATAGAGTTTTGGGCATGCACCAAGAAAATCTAGTCCATTCTCAACCACAGTAGCCTATTGAATGATTTTTGGGCTGGTCACTCTTAGCTCAGCCTACATGATAGGGCTGTTGCTGTGGGAGAAAATGCGAAAAGGGAATTTTTCATCTTAAGCTCCTGAAGGAAAGTAAGTATAAAACCAATAAATTCATAAATAAAATATAATTCAGTTCATGAATACATTTCAAAAGATGTCTGTCCTTTCTGTGTGAGATATCTTCCTCAAAACTTAACTAACTTTGGTTTAAGACCTTAATTATCATACCAAATTTAAAAAGTTTAATGGTTTAATCCACTTCTCTCTAAGAATAGAGTGAATCCTTTATTTTGAGATATCTGATAGTGTTTCCTCTTTGGAGGAAAAGGGCAAAGAAGCAATTTTTCCAGTTGCTTCTTTTCCTCTACAAAACTTCCTTCTACTTTTTTACACTACTCCAAATGGTTCCCATGTTATTTATACGATCTTCTCAGAGATGTAAAAGGAATGGACAAATACCTTTTTGTCCAGCATGATAAAAATATAATTCTAAGCTAGTTCATATACTTGCATGGGCTAAAATAAAATAATGCAGATACAATAATTTATTAATTTTCAGAATTTTCCCAAGCATGATTCAAAGTTAAAAATTTATATTTGTGCCTATTCATTTAGATCATTATATGAAAAATTGTTACATTTCAATTAAATATCAAATTGTAGGGCAAGGAGTGTCAGAACCTGGGAATGGAGTTAAAAAAGAGCAGTCCGCCAAGAATCTCTGTATAACCACAAGCAGACTGTCAAACCACTTGAATTCAGTTGACCTTATCTGACTCCCAGCAGAAGTTGCTAGTTGAGAATATTCCTGTGCATAAATATGAGTAGCAATAAAGCAGTTTAATTGGACTATGTGTGGATCTGATCTTTTACGCCTGACACAAATGAGTTAGAACAGAGTCAAAGTAGAAGAAAGCAATAGTTGAACTGAAAACACAGCTATGAAATGTATAAGGCAAGATAACATCTTTTGAACCATTATAACTATTTTAATATAGTCATTATTATATTTGTTAATAAAATATTTTAAATCCTTACTATATGGTTCTTTTAGTAGTGCAGGGGGTAATTGTCTGATACAATAATCAAAAACACACAGCAGAAGCTGAAAAGAGATAACCAAATCATCTTCCATCTGCAGTATTTTTCCTGAAATATTAAATAAAAATCTTTATATAAATGTTTATAAATCAAGACTTTTTCTTTTAAAATTTTCATTTAAAGCCATTATAAAATAATTATTTGCTCCTTTTCTCCTGTACTCCCCTAGTTCAGAGGAAGCCCTAAAATTCATAAAATGTTAGTAATAGTTTAGTCTAGTGGTTAAGGCACCGGGCTAGAAAATGGAAGACCCTGAGTTCTAATTCCATCTTAGCTATGAAAGCCAACTGGGTGACCTTGGGCTAGTCACTCTCTCTCAGACCAACCTACTTCACAGGGTTATATGGGGAAAAGGTGTACTGGATATGTTTGCTGCCTTATTTGTAAAAATAATATATGGGATAGAAATAAAAAAATAAGTAGAGGAATACTGAATTTCAGCTGCTATAGATATTAAATATATTCCTCTTTCTTTTGCTCAAATGAATTGATAAGATAAATCTTATCTCGGTCCTACCAGAATAGTGAGCCACTATAATGCATTGGTTAAAATGTTGGATTGGAACAGAGAAACTGAAGTTCAAATTCCACTAGACCAGGGGTCTCCAACCTTGGCAACTTTAAGACTTGTGGACTTCAACTCCCAGTGTTGAAGTTCACAAGTCTTAAAGTTGCCAAGGTTGGAGACCCCTGCACTAGGCCATGAAACTCCTTGAGTGACACAGGCCAAGTCATTTTCTTTTACCAAACATTTTTATTATAGAAATTATATGAGGGGAGAGAGACCATCACAATCCTTTGAGATCTCAGAGTAAAAATAGGTCTTAAACATACTATACCACTCAATAATATTAGCTATTACTTGCTTTTGTCTTGAACTAATATTAAACCAAAAAAATCCCCCCAAAATACTTTATTAATCAAACTGTTAGTTCAATTATAAACACAATTTGAAATGAAGTAAGTCACATGCAATAATATGATTTAAGCATCCATACCTTTTGCCAAAAGAAACATGATCCAGCAGAGTTTTGTAAATAAGGAAGAACTTATTTCAGCACAAGTTCTACAAAAACAAACACAGTAAGTTTTCACATTTGACCTTTTAAAACAATGGTAAATATAGTTTGCATAGAATAGAACTTTTCAGCCAAATAAAAGTTACATGGGAATATTTTGTTTACATTTTTACATTATGTGGTGACATCTATGAAAATAAAACAACATGACTGCCCTCCTACTATTAACTTTATCAGAACTCATAAAAATTCAACATAGGAGCGATAGTTTTCACTTTCTTGTACCATCAACCTGGATCAATAGCTACATTTCTGAGTCTATCTTCTGAACTTATTTCAAGATATCTAATTATGATAAGATTATTTATTAAAGTTATTCTTACTTCTCCATCACTAATTGTATAACATTTAAAATCTGATTTTGTCATTTTAAGAAAAAATCAGCTAACAACCCCATACTTAACTGCTTACCCGTCTGTCCTTACCCATTGTGCTGCCTGAATATTTGATGTAAGTTTTATAATATTAGCCATTTTTATTCTATGAAAACAAACTTACTGATCATTGGGCTTGTCAATGCAGATAATTTCACAAATCCTAAAACAACAGAAATGAACACATCCGGGTATTAAATCTGAAATTTCACCTTAATATACTGTATTTATAATATCTTAGAGGAGATAGTTTTGTTATGGGGAATAATCAAAACTGATTATAGTAGCAAAAGTATTTTTAGTGAAACTGGGTTGATGCAAAATGGGATTATTTATCATTTTTGAAAAATTTAGGAAGCAGATCTCAGGGTTCATAATTCAATAGGAAGGGCCCTTGTTGACTATGCTCTTGAGGTGATCTGGCGGTCCTCAGAGCATAATAAAAAAAAGTTGAAAACACTTAGCTGTTATCGAACTAAAAAAAAAAAGCAATTTTTTTTAACATATTACATTTCATATTACATCCATCTTACATATTACATTTCTTATTTCATCCATCAATGTATGTTCATGTTAAAATATTTTAAACCACTTATTTAAAAATTAAGTGATAAACAATATAAAATAACAAAGCTCATAGTAAAAATATTACATTATAAAAAGAATATAATAAAACCAACATTCACTATCAGAGAACTCGGCATGTATTTAGGATGGTTACAGTGTCCCAGGGTAATATGATCACTTTTTGCAATCTTCTGACAAGTGAAGTCAATGGGGAAGCCAGATTCACTTAAGAACCATGTTATTAGCTTAACAACTGTAGTGATTCAGTTAACAATGCGACAACAAAGGTAATAAAATGGAACAAAACAAACAACTAAATTTTAAAAAGAGCCGGCATGGTCATACTCCACTCAGTATCAAAGATGCAGATGTAAAGGTGGTCAACAGTATTAAGTATCTGGGGGTGCAGGTAATTAACAATCTGAACTGCTCTTTCCATACATCATCCTTAGTAAAGCGTGCAAACCAGTGTCTGCATTTCCTGTGTTGGGTGAGAACACATCTTTCTCCTTCTGTCCTGGCCACTTTTTACAGAGGCATGATTGAGAGCATTTTAACAAACTGCATCACTATTGGGTTTGGTGGCAGCAGTGCCTCAGATAGAAAGTCCATACAGAGAGTGGTAAGGACAGCCAAGAAGATTTGCTGGCTTCCTATTATTCAGGAGGCTGCTTATAAGCGCTATGTGCTTAGAGCTCAAAGCATTGTTAGAGACCCCACACACCTACTTCACGGTCTGTTTCTGTTGCTCCCCACTGGGAGGATGTTTTGAAGTATTTCTAGCAAGACTACCAGATTCTGTAATAGCTTTGTTCCCTATGCTGTCCGTCTGGTAAACTCACAAGACTCGTTTTTCTCACCATGTACATGGATACATCTGAACTAGACTGTATTGTTTCTCTGTGTCATATATTATATGTGGGTATATGCATAATTTTGTATTTGTTTGTTTGTTTTGACATGTTTATGTACTGTATTTTGGAGTGGTGACCCTTTGAGAGCTGTATGCAACGACATTTCATTTTAATGTATGCCAATTAGTGTACATTCAAAGTGACAATAAAGTTATTCTATCTAACTGTTCCACTTAACGACAGAAATTTTGGGCTCAACTGGGGTCATCAGTTGAGGACTACTTGTATTATATCAAGCGTATTAAAGCTTGTACCATCTATAGCATGGGTGTCAAACTTGCCTCATCATGTTGTCGTCAAGCAACTTTTGCAACGTTTTCCCCCTTCGTGGAGCTGGGGTGGGCTTGGCATGAATGTGACACATCTTGTCCACGGACCCCCCGTTTCACACGCCTGATCTATAAAAACTGCTACTGACTGGCCTTACCTCACTTACTTTTTTTTTAACCACAAAGGAAAAACAACTTGGAACTCAGTAATAGCCCTTACAATATTTTCTTTTTCAAATATATATTAGATCAGGGGTGTCAAACTCAATTTCATTGAGGGCCACATCAGGGTTGTGGTTGACCTTGGGGGGCCAGGTGGGTGTGGCTGACTGGGTGGGTGTGGTCAACTAGATGGGTGTGGCCAGCTTGATGCCACTCCCCAAACTGCTGGCATGTTTCCTCTTTGCACCGAGTAGACTGGGCCAAAGATACATTGGCCTGAGTTCTTCGCACTGGGTTAAACTGGGCCGATCTTTCCTCTTTGTATTGGGTAGACCAGGACAGCTCCACAGGCCAGATTCAACCACACTGTGGGCCACATCCAGCCTGTGGCCCTTGAGTTTGACACCTCGATATTAGATGGTGTTAACAAGTCAGAAAATTGAAGATTAAGCTACAAGTTTCCTTTTTAAACAATTGTTAATAGTACAAAACTGGAACAATCACGTGATTCCTGGTTCTGATTCAAACAATACCCTTTAAATTTCACAGCAATAATATTAAAATCATTTGTTCTAGTTTTCTTACCAGCAATTATAAAGCTATTTCATAACATATATTTAAGTATTGCTTAAGCAAAAACTCCTTTTTAAATAAACCTAAATGCAATAATATCTTACCTTGTAAACTTCTGGTAGAGTGCAAGCAGTATATTATATTTTATTTTTAGACGTGATATAGTACATTCCACTTTAGTACTAATTGTATCCATGTTGACATCTATTTCTTTACTCAAGTGCAGAAATTTGCATACACTGCAAGAAAAAGAGAAGAGAGCAACCAAATCATTCCTTTCTAACATTACTAAATTAGAGCTGTGTGAAAAAGTCCTGCACGCATTACGGTTTATGACATTTTTTGGATAGGCCATTGATTTTATGATATTTTATGCTAACTGCTATGCAAATATTGTTATATTTAAATAAATACTGGTGGTTTTTAAGTGAAAGGCATAACCTTCTTGCAATTTGGTGCTGTTTGGATGGGGATTGTGAAATTTCTTGCATGCTTACAATGACTATGAAAACAGATTAACTGATGTGGCATATGTGTTGTAATTACTAAGGCCAATGCAAGTGTTTTGTTAACATTTTTATTGTTTGTGGCCCTAAAAAGGACCGTTTAGGTAACCAAACATGGTTACTAATATGAAATTGGCCAGCCCTTATTGCTTATCACCAGGCGGCATCGCTTTGGCGTAGGCTGCATCCATTGCATGTGATGATCTGGGGCTGTATTGCTATTGATATAGATTAGTATATTGGTATTGATCTGATATAAATTGTGCAGGGAATCATGAATTCCATGCAGTATGTTGAAGTCCTGGAAAAGACCATGCTTCCTTCAGCTCAGCAACTTGTAGGGAAGGACTTTTACCTCCAGGATGACAACGCTCCTTGTCATCGAGCCACGACCGTCCAGCAGTAGATGAAGAAGCATGGTGTTCGACTCCTGGATTGGCGAGCTCAGAGCCCGGATTTGAACCCAATTGAGAACTTGTGGGCCAAGATTGGTTATGAAATAAGAAAGAAGCATCCGAAGATCAAGCAGGAGCTGATTAAATCCATTATTGCAGCCCGGCACCACATTGTCACCAAAGATCACGTGCAAAGTCTTATACAGACACACCAAACATACCTAATTTTTAAACATTTCAGAAGTTCTGTAAAAGTGAATGTCATCTCATCCAGGTCAACAGCAGCCATAAAAATGCAGATACCCCACATTTCTTGTTTCAGCTGGCTCTCCTAGAATAAAAGGTTAGCTCAACTGTATTATTCAGAGTTGTAATAAACATCAGATCAAAATTTATATTTAATGTAATTGTCTTACCCATAAATTTTGCAGTTATATTTATATAATTTACCATCATATCTTCTATTATCAAAGTAGGTTGATCAACATCTATCAGTTTACAAAAGGTAATTGCTGTTGCTGGAAATATGGGGAACTCAAAAAGAATTTTTAAGTTATTGCTATTTCAAATGTAAGAATAGGTCAGCAATTCTTAGGATTGTGTTTCTTAGGATAAATCAAATATTGAAGGTTATTGCACCAAAAGAAAAGGGAGATAATAGAAAAAATAGGATTTTTGTTTAAGCCCTAACTTTATCCTGGAAGTTGAAATACTTGCTATTGAGTAACATTTCAAGACTGAAATTATTTGTTTGATACCATATCACCAGTGTATACTATTGAGAAGTCTTTCCTAGCTGGCATCTTCCAGATATCTTGAAAATTCAAAGATTTGGCAATGCCAGGAGCTCCTTTTATAGACTCAGATTCAAATATCAATATCTGAATACTTTATCGCTATTTCATAGGATTTGAAAATAAAAAATATATTTTATACTTCAAAATCTTTCCTCCCAGTAGTATTAAGTCTTGGTATTAATTGAATGAAGCCATAAATGGGAATCCTCTTATTAGAGGCACAAGATATATACATATATTTTATGTATACGTGTGCCTTTTATATTTAATACAATTCTGTACTTAGGGCCAGCAGATCAAATTGCATTTCTCCAACCATAATTTAATAATCAAGAGTAACAAAAACACTTTCTAGCGTATACCTGTATATTAATACAACTTGGGATATGTCAAGAAATCAATGCAAAACTATTGAATAGGATTTCTATATTTTGTCTAGTTTATTCTTACTGGCAAAAAAAAAGCCACAGGACCTTAGAATAGATTATACAGAGAAAGAAGCTGGAACAGACTCCCTATTACACAAAGAGGAAAGGAAAAGGAGGAATAAAGGTCTACCTATAGATGGGCCTTCTGTTTACATAGGGAAGGATTCTTGTACCATATCAAAGTTGCCGGCCATAAATCGCAACACCCAATTCTGAAATATTAGCACTTGCACTACAAAACAAAACTTTGCCTAGATTTTATCACATGTGTACTAATATTATTTATTTTAAAATCAACTTCAACTCATGAGAAAAGTGAAATAGCACTAAAAATAGAAACAAAAACTAAATTGGGGGAGATGGAGGGAATGTTTGGGTGTGTGCGTATTTGGTATTATTTTCCAAAATGTATTATGGTTATTACATTGTTAATGTAATATTTAAATTACATACTTAATAAGCAAGATATACTCACTACATCCATTTTTTCATAGGCCTTCCAAGCTGTTATTCTCACATTGTCTGTTATGTGTAAAGCATCACATAAGGAAACAAAGTCTGTTTCAGCAAATAAAAGCCTAGCAAAGAGAAATACGTTACTTATAAAACTGAATATTTTAGGTACTTGACAGATTGCATAATTTTATGGAATATGTACTACACTATTTATTTTGGCAAATAAGGTACTTCCACTTCCAATACTTTTCTTACATATAAGCACAAACAATAAATTGTATATGAAAAATGCAATCATGGGCCCTATCTGTTACCAACAGGTACCATGGTATTTTCCTGACCTCATTCCATGAAGTCAAGAGTTTATTCATATACATATCAACGCACACAGTTATTTTACTGGTATTTGGATGCAGTGAAACGTATTTTATTCATTCTGAAACCTAAGAAGAGTTCTGATGAAAAGCATCATCTGAAAACAAGGACACTATTAAGCAGTGGTGTAATTTTAGATCTGTTTTATTAGTTCCTTAAGCCTGCCAGTGTTTTTTTCAGCATGCTAACACATTCCCCCTCCCACCCCGATTGTTTATCTTTAAACCTTGCTGCAAACTCAGTATCTCACAAACTCTACTCTCTTTTCTATATTTTTCCTAATATTCTATATTAGAATATTATCAGGGGTGGGATTCTATCTGGTCGCACTGGTTCTATAGAACCGGTTGTTAAGATTCTGCGCAGTTCGGAGAACTGGCAAATCACACCATTGGTTGGCCCCACCCCTCCCCACCCAGTCACAACTTACTCAGCATGCGCGCGATCCAACTTGCCTGCTAAGTTACTATTTTCCTTTTTTTTCCAACTATCAGCTGCGCCGGGAGATTTAGATTAGCTAGAAAGCAGGAAATTGTTGGATTTCTTGCTTTCTAGCTAATCTAAAAGCAGAGCTGAACCTTCCTAGCTTCTATTTTTCAGTGCAGACTCGGGTAGCAGATTGCAGAAAAGTAAATCTCTGAATAAATCTGTGATTCTGTGAGCAACTCAATCTGCCTGCCTGCTTTGCCTGATTTTGGGTAAAAGTTGCT